TGTCTCCCTCCCTGTCTCCCTCCTGTCTCCCTCCTGTCTCCCTCTGTCTCCCTCTCTGAGGAATGCAGTGAATGATGGGAGAAAGTCGGGTGGCGCCGCGAGCCGTCTGATTGGCTGCTCCCCTCAGGTCCTGCCCTATAAGGAATCAAGAGAGAGAGAGAGAGGGAGGAGGAGAGAGGGAGGAGGCCTGGGCCATTTTTGGGATGGATGGATGGAGGAGGAGGAGGAGGAGGAGGAGGAGGAGGTTGATAAAGTCAGTCGCTGCACTTCAAACTCTCACTTCTGTTCTGTCCCCCCTCACGTCCCAGCAGGCCCCGCACTGCCACGGTAAGACCTCCTCATCACCTCCTCATCCTCATCACCTCCATCTCCTGCTTCTCCTGCTTCTCCTCCTCTAAATGTGATGACGCTTTTTCTCTTATTTGCTCCTGAAGGTCTCATCTCCTGTTTCACTTCCTTTCTCTCTCCTGTTTCACCTCCTGTTTCACCTCCTTTCTCTCTCCTGTTGTTTACTCTGCAGAAAAAGCAACATATTTTTTCTTCTGTTTCTCCTCTTTCATGCCTTCACCTCCTTTTTTCTGCTCCTAAACCATTTTGCCTCCTCTTTTATTGCTCTTCACCTCCTTTCACCTCATTCTACATCCTTCCCTCTCTGCTACCACTAACCTCCTCCTTCTATCTCCTCCACCTCTTCACCTCCTTCACTCTCTCCTCCTCACAGCGTAAATGTAGAAATAATAAATCTATACCACCTACTCCTCTTTCACCTCCTCTCACCTCCTTTCCTCTGTGGAATAACTTTAGCCCTCTCTTATTCCTCAAAACGCCCTCACTTCCTCTTTTACCTCCTCTAATCTCAGTTTAACTTAAAACCAAGTGATTTTCTCCTCCTCCATCTTCCTCCCTGTCTCACCTCCTCCTTTACCTCCCTTCCACTCCTTCTTTATCATCTTCTCTGCTCCTTCACCTCCTCCTCCTCCTCCTCCTCCTCCTCCTCTTCTTCCTCTGGTTCTGTTCTTCTACTTCGTGTTGCACCTGCTGAGCTCAGAGCAGCTCGTAGAGTCGGACCAAGTCAGACCAAACTCCCTTTGAGTTTTGGCTGTTTTTAGAGTGTCAGTGTGAGTGTCAGTGTGCAGAGCTGTGGTTGGTTTGTGCTGCAGATTCTTCAGAAAGCTGATTGAGGAAACAGAAACTCAGACGTTGGCTCAGGAACATCTTCTCTACATCAGCTGTTCATGTTTTAGTGTCTGTTTGTATTCTAAGCAGTCAAAGTTAAAAGTTTGAGTTTTTTGAGTGAAGTTTGGTTGAATCTGGCAGGTGTTGAGGTGTGTTTGATTTCTCTCTCACGGTGCCAAGTTGAAGCTCGACTTATTTAACCTTTCTGCCCCGAGTGGAGACTGGCAGGTGAGCTGCCGGAACATCTGACATTGAAACATAATGAATTTATTTTCCTTCAAACATTAAACACAGAAGATAAAAGTTCTAAACTACGGAAGCCCAGAGGAGAAGTTTGATGATAAAGTAAATGTAGTTTGATTCACTGCTTTGCTTTTTCAGAAGCTTTTAAGCTGATCTCATGGTCTTCATCAACAGCTGCAGTGAGCATTCACTGATGAAGACCATGTCTGTCAGTCAGCCAGCAGGGGGCAGAAAACATACTACAGCTACTACTGAACATCAGTCTAATCAATAACCTTATCAATAACCTTATCAATAACCTAAAACAGTCCAACCAGTAGAAAGATCATGTAAAATCAGTCGTTTTCTTTATGGAGCTTTGAATAAATAGAAAGATAAAAGTTTATTTTTATATTTATTCTTACTACAAACTTTCTGCATTTGATTGATTGATTGATTGATTGATTGATATCTTCTGATTCAGAAATCAATGTGTGTGTGTGTTTATGTTTCTAAAATGAGTCATTGATCCGCCGCTGGATGTTTTCAGGAGGAACCAACGAGCCACAGACAGGAAGTCAGACGGTTCTGAGGGACGGACCAACGTGTTTGATCTATTATTGAGATCAAACAAATATTGATTTATTGATTTACTTTAATTACTTCAATTATTTATTGATCATTTTTATCAAACAGCTCCTGAATCTTCGTAAGGTGACACATTAAAAATATAGATCAATATCCATCTATATCTCCAGCAGGAATCAATAGGATTTATTGACTATAAGGAATCAATCAGATGTATTGATTAATGAGTTCTAAAGGAGCAGCAGGCTCCTGCTGACCACACTGAGGGCAGAGAGAACCTCTGAACGTCTGATTCCACATTAATGACTAAATATGGTCTACAGTCCTTCCTGTCTCACTGCCAGAGAGACAGACAGGCGCAGAGGGGCAAGAGAGGAGAGAGAGAGAGAAGTGAGAGAGAGAGAACAGGGAGAGAGAGAGCGAGAGCGAGAGACAGAAGAGAGAGAGAGAGACAGAGATGAGACAGAGAGAAGAGAGAAGACAGAGAGAGACAGAGAGAGAGACAGAGAGGAGAGACGAACAGAGAGACGAGACGAGAAGGAGAGAGAGAGACAGAGAGAGAGACAGAAAAGAGAGAGAGAGAGAGAGAGGAGACAGAGAGAGAGAAGAAACAGGAGAGAGGAGAGAAAGAACATAACCCAGAAATCTGAGTCAGGGACTCTGCTTCGTGCCCATATTAGGAAGTTTGCCAGAGTGCTTGTTGTGTTCAGTGGAGTGGTGGTGACCTCACAACTCCAAGTGTGTGGATGAGAGTGAAAAAGCGATCTCACGCCGACACTGATCACTTATTGATCGGAAGGTTTCTAATCAAGTGAGCTAGAATTTTAGAATTGATCTGTTGCAGTTTAAAGTAGATTCAGTATTATGGAACAAGTTCTCCTTGTATATATATGATAGAGGGAAAGACTATAATATTATACAGTATACAACACTTTAATTATCAGCTTTTATTTTGTCCACAGTTTAAATCTTTCAACTGATTTATTGAAATTATTTAAATATATTATTTTTAAGTAAACTTTATTAAATACATTTTATTTTTAAATCTACTTTATCCAGTGTGTCAGTGAAGCACAGAAACAAACTGAATTAACTTTATTGATTGATTAATAATATAAAGTATATTAAATATAAATTGATCTTACTGTATTAATTATTGTTTGTGATATTTAATTGAACGTTTTTAATAAAATCAGTAAATTAAACTGGTATGTTGAACTGACGAAAGGATGAACAGGGTGAGTTGCATATCCTCGTACCAATTTCCAATCAATTGATTGTTGAACAGTTGATTGTCTGTAACCTGCAGTCAGCCTCTTGGTTTTGTGTAAATGTGTTAATGTGTGCTGCAGTTACATGCGTGATCGGCCACCGGTGTGGCAGTGGTGTGTGTGTGTGTGTGTGTGTGTGAATGAGCTCAACGCAAGATCGATCGGACAGATAATAGATCTCTGTCAACTAACCCCTCGTCCTGCTCATAACCTATGATCCAAATTAATCCCTTGTCTCTCTTCTTGTCTTCTTCGTCTCTCTCTCTTCAGGTGTGACACTCTTGTCGTCGTAGTGTTGTCGTCGCCCTACAGCGCCCCTTGCAGTCATGTGTGACGGACTGAGGAGAGCATCGCTCTCGGTCTGTTGTATAAACGGATCCGGATCTGTCAAGGCCAGGGTTCGCCTCTGCCATAGGGGGACCGACGCCAGCGCGTTCTTCCCCATCCATCGTGGGCCGGCGCCGGCACCAGGTGAACTCATGCAATAACCACAAACAATGGTACAGATCAAGCCTGTCTGTCTGTCATTCTGGTCTGTCTGCTCTGTCTTGGTCTCGACCGTATGTCTGACCCGTCTGTCTCTCTGTGTGTCTCCTGTTCTGACCCGTTGTCCTCGTCTGTGTGGCCTGTCTGTGGTTCAGATAAGTGGTCAGCTAGATGGTCCGTATATGAAACTGTGTAGGCAGAACAAAGGACTGTTGTACCTAGACAGTTTTCTCGTTGAAATCAGGGGATCAACAGCAAGGTTCTCAGGATGTAAGAGGCACAATACTCAACGCTGAAAAATATCCAATTAATCAATTCGTAACACGAGAATCTCGATTCACCAAGATCTTGGGGTGAAACAATGAAGTAGAGCCTTCGTATTGTTGTTGTTGTTGTTGGTTGTTGTTGATCTCTTCTCTC